TATGACTTCCTGGAACCTTTTATACCCAGAGATAATCTAAAGATTCTCATGAACTTGAAACCATTTTATTCATACATCTTGCGGAATACCATTCATTAACAATCGTCAAACAAATAAGAAATTTTTAAAACATTTTATTATGTTATAAAATAGTTCAATATTGTTAGTTGAAATTACATTTCCCATGATTGTTTAAAGTTAGAAATGTTACTTTATTTTACAGTCGTATACAGTAAGATCAAAAATATTGGAGTTAGAAACAAGAAATAATCTTATTCACAATTATTTTCACCAATTTCATTAGAGTTAAAATAGTTCTAAGATAATTTTTCAACTATCAACAGATGTAATTGACGATGATCATAACTTTTTATTAAAAAGAGAAAGACAAATATAGATTTATGAACTAAGGTAGAATGAATTTTAATCGATCATTGTGCTAATTATAATGATTGTCAGTATATATCCATGCTACTGTTATAAATATAACAGTATCATTTTTAATGGTTACGTTTGTTTAAAATTGTAGACAGTCTTTAAAGTATAGTAACTGATTTTGCTGCTAACTAATGAACAATACGATTAGTTTTGAAATTATTCTGTCATAACTGAAGCGCTGTTGATAACGATGACAGTAATACATTACATGATCCCAAAATGAAATTGAATGGATGGGTTCTAAGATTTTTGGTAAGATAATTTAAGGCCAATTAATTGGCATTTAAACGCCCAAGATTTCATTTTACTTAAGTTAGTTTGTGGCAGTGGGATGATCAGATCTAGTCATCCATGAGTTATTTTATCGATTTGGTCTTGGCCGATTTCAGCGGTCACTATCAACTTCAGATCAAGTTATTAGTGAATTCAGTAACTTTATTTATTGAGGTGTTTGCGAAAAGATTCGGTGATTTAGGTGGTTTTCATAAGCTGAATAACAAACTATGAATATCCATCTATAAAATAGCTAAGTAAACACATATTGTAAACAAGTAGTATAGACTAAGAAAAATTTTCGCACATGTGTTTTTATACAACGTCGAAAACTCCAAATTAAGAAGTTAATAATAGTCAAAATTATGCAAATAAAAGTTATTTTTAAAAAGTGTTCAATCATATAAACTTGACTGTGAAAAACAAACAATTCACATTCTAAGCGACTAAATACACTGGTGTAATTAGCAATCGATCTCCATCATCATTATCAGTTTAGGGGATAATAAAATTAAGTGTAATTCACAGTTATGTTACATGTAAAATCTTTTGCATTTTAACTCGGATCATCTTTCTAGTACTGACAGATTAATCGATCTATGAACAGCTAAAATTTTACTTGCTCTGTTATCACCGAACATTTTACAACCAGAAAGACATATGCTTAGTTATGAAGATTAAAATAACAACGATGATTCGGTTTTTATTAACCTGTCTAGCTTCAACCATTATTATTTTTTTAAAAACACTCAAGCATAGAAGAAGCGTATGATGTATCGAATAATAAAACATAGTAGTTATAGTATTAAATATTAAACAAACCTTAGAAAAGACTAAAAATCAACTACGTGAAACATGTTAGATAGATAGATAGATGTTGACACTTCCAACTTGGAAACCCGTTGAATATATCATAAGAGTCCTGAATAGTTTGAAGAATCAACATTGAAGGTAAACAAAAGAGAAAGCTTTCACGGTCAGCCAACAATGAATAAAATTATTATTATTGTACGATTTTAAACAAGTTGAACGATCAGTACAATATGATATACAATGCTTAAATGTTCAGCGTCAGTATTTTATCAAGGGACTTATACGAGCCAGAAGAGGAAGATGATAACTTTAACAATAATAATCATGAAGAAGAAACAACAAGAGTTTGTAAATAATAATATGTATACATGATAGGTGAACGCAGTCGATGAATGATTAGGGCGTATTCTTTGGACAAAACTAATCACCTCAAATCTAAACCATCAAATACTAATGTGTTGTGCGGTATTTCATTTTTGCTTTTAACTTTATGCACATAAGCCTCTGATGATAGTTTCCAGAATCCAAACTAAGATGTTTTGATCCTTCATTTACAGTTCGACTTAAAATCCTACAGCTTTGTATGTTATACTATCGTCCATACATTTTCACCGGACAGTAGAAAATTCGTGAGAATTCACAATAGTTCTAATCAGGTAAATGTAATCACCATGGTTTGACTTGATAATTTCGAATAGATAAACATTGGGTGGTTTGTTTATAACGATATAATGATAGTTCATATGTAATATCCAAATGAATGGAAAACTGAATTTTTGACATTTCGCGACTTAGTTTAAGTCGCTTCCTCGGTCTTGAACAAGTCCTAATCGATGTTAATAGACTCTCTAACTGCAAAGACACTTTTAACAGTTGTTTGACTGATATGTAAAGGTGACGAAAATCAGTTTCACATTGAGTGACATGAATAATAAGAATATCATAGTGAGGTAGATGGATAAGGAGACAGGGAACCATAACGCTAGAGAAAATCTTGAACTAAGATTAATCTTGTTTTTGAACCGCTTGTAAACTTTTAGAAATTTTTAAGAGACGACTATGTAAAACTAGACAAAAATGAGTTAGCAAAATGTAATGAATTGCCAACAGAAATAACAAATAGCTTTATAATCAGTTTCGTCTTCTATCACTACGAACTATTATACTAAGGACAATTAATGCCTAAGATTGAAGGGAAGTTATGTGTAACTACTGTGATTGTGAATACTTGTGTCGATTTTTGGCTATTTATATGATTTCGGAAATGATTTTCAGACTTCCGATTAAGATCGGAAAAATCATTGATAAGTATGGATCACTGAATAATTACTTTGTTCTATGTCAAAACTCCTTAGTCGATTTGACAACAGACCTCATAAAAGACCAGACTTATAGTATTTAAGTTCCCAGATGTGTATGATAACATTTAACCAACTTCACAATGAATTTTCCGAACTTCAAAAATGAGATTATAACTTGCGGAAAACAGAAGGTGAGGACTGTACATCATTGGGTTTCAAATCAATGACTTGAAGGTATTCCTCTCCTCAGAAACGACCTAGACATTCTAGGTCTAACTCAATATAGTCACGGGTATGGAATTGTTTGACCTCCAGAACTAAGACCTATTGTACAATAGTTTTTGGTTGGTGATAATTTATTCACATCGAAAGATCTTACGGCATAATTATTGCTATTATCATATCACTTTACTGTAATCGATAGAGTTACAATAGAAGTGAAGTTTTTTGTCTAGCTATACAGACTTTTTATTCTCTTATATCATTACTTGAGAAAAATTATTTTTTAAAAACAAAGGTAAATAAATCAATCCGGTTACTTTTAAGCGGATTATCGAAGGATATAAAATGTTCTATTGATATCATTTTTATAAAGCTAATATGTATGTGGGGGGTAGGCGTCAATAATACGACGAATACTAGTGTTGCTTACTTTAAAAGCACTTGCTGTAAAGCATTAGTCAAATTACGTCACTACATAACCATAAACAAAAGACTATAATCAAAACATGCCTAATACAAATAACAGTCTGTTGTATAGTATACAAAATTTATACTTCTGAAAATATAAGGTAACAAAAAACGTCTATTAGTTCATATCACTCAAAGTATAAATATCATCATTATGTGAAAATGTGTATTAAGGCAGCAACTTTTGCTGATGGAAGTATAGTGGTGGAATGTTTGATGAACGATTACTCGAACACACTCAAATATATTGCAACTAATTATTCAATTCAATTTCAATGCAAACCTAAACATAAATCGATTGGAAGCAGTTCAATGTGCAAAGAAATAAAGATCGCTAGCATATTAATAGTTTTAAACCTCATTTATTGAACTCACTCTGATCAAAACTAACATATGTAAAAGAGGAAGGATTTTGCCAAAGTTTTAACGTGGCACTCACTACAAACTGATATCAACTTATGGACAACTGACCAGCTGAAATTATTCTACAGTTGTTTGCGGAATTATAAAGTGTTTATGAGGTTGAACAGTTATTAGTCAAATCAAGGTAAATAAGGATTATGAAATATAGAACAGTTTCAAATTGTCACTTTTGAACACGTAAAATTAACTACACGTCTTACGTACTTTGAATAAGAGTTTCATCATAGTTGATCATTGAGAACTAGGAATCATTGGTCAGCTGCTTTGTTCAATTTTGGGAATTCATATTTGTGCCCAATCGAACCTGAAACCTTTAAGATACTTTATAGGCACGATGACATCCAGGGAACGACAAATCAGTGTAAATTGTAGATTACGTTTTTTTTAGACCATTGGAAACCATCAAAAACGAAGAGAGCTATTCAAAACATCTAAGTTTCGGGAAGGAACTTAAAAACACTATTTGTTATATAGTATCTATAATAGCGTAATGCTTGCAATAAACGATTTCTTTCTGCCTAGGTCAATCACCAACCGATCAGGTCAATAGTAGAAAAAGAATTACAAATTTAGTAAACTCAATTTTGTGTAATTCGTTCGTCATATTAGCCTAGGTTCTTCATAGAGCACGTAAACACTTGAAGGTCTGTTCAACAAGATGTTTTGAAATGATAATTATTATGAAATCATAATAGTCAAATTTCTGGATGAAAGGCGAACAGTCTAAGATTTGCTCATTCATAAACACGAATTATGAGATTTAACTAAGTTGATCTAACCATCATATACATAGAAATCCATGAACTGTATTATGAGTTATTATCTCTGATATTAATGTCATACAACTCCTAGTTCGACTAAAAGACGAGTATTATCTCAGATACACTTATTATGATATCGCCCAAAATGGTCAATATAAATTTAAATTGAAGCCTGCTATTACATGACTGATAATTAATCACATTCATTTTTAGGTTAAATCTTTACGATTAATTGTAATTAAATAGTTCCATTTTTTTAAAATAAAGAGATAAATGAATTAAACACTGTCATAAAACTTACAGATTTTTTCGATGAACTATTTTGTTTCTTGTATTCCTCGTCATTAAAATTAACTGGATGATACACAAACAGCTTATCATTAATCTGTTTATTTTCAAGTCCTACATGTTTATTTAAATCGTTTAAAGTTTGACAATGATAAGCTGCGATTTGTTTAAAATTTAAGTTTTCTGCAGTTTCTTCTTCTGGTGATTGAACTGAATTGTTGGAGACTGATGTACAAGTCGAATATGTAAGTGGTGAAGATAAAGGTGACAATAATGTAGATGATGATGATGATGATGATGATGAAGAGGAAGAGGAGGACAAGTAGTTAGTGGAACAGAATAGAGGTAATGAACATGAGTCAGAAGACAATGATGATATGGATTCAAGTACACACTTAGTTGGATAAACTTGAAAGGAAGAATCTGAATATGTTACATCTGCCAGTTGATGACAATCTATCTTTGTATGCGACAAAAGATGGCTCAAAAATCTGTTTGTTTTACAATTAGAATGACTTTTAATTTTATTATCATTCAGTGTGCAGTTCTGCAATTTTGATTGCTCTAATTTTGTTGAATCATGGTAATGATTACAATGTTCAATGCTGAATGATGCATTATTGAATTGTTTTATTAATGGAGAATCTATGAAAGATTTCTCACCACATTCGGAACAATTAATTATAGTCCTCAAATATTTTGATCCTTTACTGACAATTTTCTCCGAAAATATATCTATACTAAAATTTACTAAGTTTTTTAACTTATTATCAATATCTTTTTCTAAATGTTTTATTACTATTTGTAACTGTTCCATAAATAATTTGATCAATTCAAAATGCCTTGAACAAATTTGTTTATCATTTAATAGAAAACCCATTAGATTACAAGTACGTATAATTTTCATTAATCCAAACTTTGTATTTTCAGAATAATTGGAACAGAACTTAATGTCTCGTAATGAGTCTTGTTCACAGTTCATGATACTTGTTGGATAACTTGAATTTATTGTTTTTGAATTTTTGGAATTACTAATATTATCAGTATGATTGTTGTTACGCATATTACAACCATAAATACTTCCATTATTACTTTTAGAAATAAGTCTTGATAGTAAATGAATTGAATTCGACCCACATTGTCTTGGATTGAAAAGCTTTTTATGATGATGTAAAGGATTTCTACAATACTGATATGTTTGTTGTGTTGCTTTCCACCCAGTACAATATAAGTATAATGAATTTATTATAGCCATAATTCTCTTTATTTGTTTTACGACTATTTATCTATTTTTGCGTTTTTCCTAGACTTGAGAAAAAAAAAGCAGACGCATAACTTTTTTAAACTACCATTTATATTTATCCTTGTTTCAGTACATGTCTTAGTGAATTCAGATTGTTTTTCAATAACCTCAAGGAGGTCATAACGCTTGTGATTTGTTCATTCGACTTATCTATGATTTGATTGGTTGTTTGAAAGCCCAACAATAAATACATAGTTTAAAATAACCAATTAAAAAAATACACGTGATGGCACAAGCTAATCTGAGCTATAATTTTTATTCAGACGTGTTTTCGGCAACTATAAACTACATTCATTACATGAAGTAACAAGCGTATATAAGATTGTAGCTAACTAGAAGTGGTTGGAGTAAATTAGTTTCCTTAACTAACGAGCAGCGAACCATGATATAGACGTTGGTTAATAGTTGAAACATGAAACCTAAGAGGAGACATGGATTGTCTGTGGGAGCGAGTTGATTAAGTGGTTGTCACCTTAGTTTTTATAGCTTTGATTGCTTGACTCTCATCTTTTTGTCAAATATCTTTTTAGCGTTTTGAATTTCTTATTTGACAAATCCATATGTTGATTATGCTTGGGTTCGTACTGATGATTGTGAAACACCTCAACAGTTTCTGACAATGATGGCAATTTCGAAGCTTATGATTATGTTTGAACAATATAATTTTCGCAAGATTAAAAATTCTGCTGAGCACTGTTTAACTACAACTTAGCTCGAATTTATTAGTATAGTAGTAAACAATGCTATTCTCATTGACATGGATGACAGAATGATAATTTAAAATGATGAATGAAGTTAAAATTAGTCCATTGAAGTTAATGAATTTTCTCAAACCCAGTGATGAGGTGGTTTCGATCATAAAAAGATGTCTGGATTTACATCATAACCATGGAGCACTCTGTTATGGAAATATCATGTTGAATGAATCTTTCATGAAAGGCTTAGAGTGATATTTAAATGCTAGGAAATGCATAAGGTGTGCATCTGTGAGTCAAAAAGTTACTTACACAGTTAAAAAGTTACGTTTTACTAATTAGAAATGCTCTTACTTGAAAATTTCAATTTGTGAAAGCTAATGATAGTTATTTATGTTTAGTGAAAGAATTAGACTTATCACCCTTTACTTAACATGGTCTTGGGACCAATTTGCTGGTAGAAGAAAATGAGATTCAGGTTTTATGCGTATGGCCTTTCTTATGTGTACGCATTCCATAAATCTTAAGCTGAAAAAAATGATATCTGTCTAGCGTAATATCACATGCATCATACAAAAATGTGAATATTTTATTTCAGCATCATAGTTTCACTACATTAACATCTGTTTAGACATAGTATGTTTTCCCAAGTATGGTGCACTTTAGACGCTTTCTGTCTCGGCATTGCTTATATGATTTTAAGTTTTATGTTGCAATTAGTTAATGCATGTCATAAATTTACGTGTGCGACATTATACTCTATTATGCCTTTCTAAAGTTTTTTACCCTTTAAATAAACTGACGCGTTCTGTGACGTGGTTGAAAAGAAGAATATGAAAGTTGTAAATTACCATTATCTGAATAAACAAATGTTTTCAGGAATAGTTTCATAGTTCTAAATTCATTGCTTTGTATCAAATTCGGTATCATGGAAGGACATCATCGTATTTAACCATCTACAGTCTTAGTAGCAAAGCAACCTAAATTTACTTAAGTATTATTTAATATTGCATACCTATACGTATTAGAAAAACTACTTGCCTGAACTTTTACACAATTCGTAATTTGGCCTTGTATGCGCAATTATATTAACCTGATACCCGTTTTATCAGGTGGAATAAGAACAAAGTCTGACACAAATGAGTGCTGAGATATATTAATGATAAATCATAACGTGAATAAATAAAGCTCGATAGTACAGTATTAACTGTTAATGATGTAAGTTGCATAAAAAGTGAAATAACTGGTATCGAGAAAGCGAACAGATGACTTCTTACATGTTATAAGTATTGGAATGGATTGTTCATACAGTGGAACAAACTATATTGGTTACCAATCGATTAACAAAATAAATTAAATTGGTTATGCAAAGAATAAGCTGATCATACAATGAAACTGTTATAATAAGCTGAAACGGATTATAAGAAGCGATCCACTTGTAGACTATACTTAGAATGACAGATAAGGTATGATAGTAAACATTTACACAGACACTGGATAACGAGAAAAATTAGCTGATCAGTTTCATTTACTATGGATATGCTGACATTTGGGAATAAGACACTGGGAATTAAAAACTCAATTGCGTAAAAGATTTAAAAAATCCAAATACATCCGGAGAACATGTGTCAGAAAATTGGAAACCTCATGATGATGTGATAAGTTCACATAAGTTTTTCTCATACATAGTTTACAGAACAACGGTAAATTTAATGTCTCTTCCAGGGTGATCAAAAGTTTGGTCAGTATCTTTGGTTCTCAAACAAGACATACATCCAAAGTATAAACCCGCAGACGGATGGAAAATAACCATATATATACTTGTTGAATGATTAGGACAAGTAGATTCACATGTTGATAGTTTCTGTTTCGCTGATAACGATGAGCTTTCAATTTGAGTGTTGAATGCGATTCAGAAATCTTCACACTACCATTCTCAGATCATTCAGAAATCTGTTAAGTCTGAAGAATTTTCGTAAAACGATAATTTACCTCATAAGATAATAATTAAACATAATATACTACCAACAGCTTCAGTTTGTGCTCAATTCACTTACTACTATTCCTATAATTTCTTCTTGCGACCAGCAGGAGAACTTATTCATTTATTATCATCAACAATGGAAAAGCCTTATAAGTGCATTGTATTATGTAAAAATGCAAAAGAATTTCACAAAGCACACCTATTATTGAGATCGGTAGATTTTGTTTGGAAGTAATATATAGAAATTCCGGAAAATATACAAAAACATGACGGTAAACAACAACTACAACTTGGCACCTACTTTGACAAACTTCATTTCTACTTTACGTTGTCATTTTGGTTAAGCACCTTTCTATATAGAAGAAGCATAACATCCAACGCGAACTTTTCGTCTAATTTCTGCCTTTTAGCACTAATCGCTGCACACATTCCATTTACTTTAGTGAAATTGTCTGGGGACGGCTCCATGTTAATTCCAAAATTTAACTAACCATATTCTTTGGGAACCCTTAATGCTGAGTAACCTGTCAGTCTTCCTAGTAAAGGTATTAAATCTTTTGAAGCTCTGTATCTTCACAGTCCACATTGAATTCAATAGCCTTTTTATGAATTCTCTGGTTTTCCCACAAATCAGTCCTTTAGATGCATTTGAACAAACTATAATTCTTACGTAATCGCAGTTTTAGCCGTTGTGTAAACTTTCGAAACTATAGTTCGTATTGTTGGTTATTTATGGAATGATATTTTAAAATTATGCGCATATCATTTTAATAACCTACTTTGATAATTGTCAATTAATCCATGTATTTCATTCTCCAAGGATTTACAGTGGAAGATTACAAACTATATATATACAGAGAGAGAGGGAGAGAGAGAGAAATACAGGAACATAGTTAATTGTTCTGTTGTTACTGGGTCAGAACACAACATTGTCCCTATAAGGATCATTTTTGGAAGTTGAAAACTCAAACTGAAATGAAATGAGCGGTGCAAGCTTTCTGGAACTTCGAGTTATTAGCGTACACTACCTATTGAGTTGTTTCCATTTGTAAAGCTTTAATAGGTTTTCTACATATTATTAGCGTATACTTCGAACTTTTTCCTGATGGTTTTGCTTGAGAAATAAATACTCCATACCACGCCATATTGCTAAATAGCATTTCGCGATAAAAAGCTGTCTAATGCAAACTTTCTCACTCACTCCTGTTACCACTCGATGAGCATAGGCCGCCGACCAGGGCCCTCCAACCAAATCTGGCCTGGGCTATCCTTCCTAATAGTTTTCAAGTCCGAATATATTATTAACATAACTGTATCTAAGGATATATAAATTTAATAGTTTACATGGGAAAACTTAGTGTTTCATACAATTTATAATAATACATATTTAAGTCTGTTACGACAACTGATCTTTGCACTATTAGGTCTTGCACCATAATATTGATTTAACTCAGTCACATGCTTCATCTAGCTAAAGGACATATCAGTGGTTACTGTTGATTCATAATGATTTATGATTATTTTGGTGTGTGGAACACTTATTCACAAATCTGGTTTAGTTTGAATCAACTTATTTTTCATGTTTTCTCGTGTGACGATAACTATTCCGTCTCAGTATCAAAAAAAGTGTGATATCTAGCATTTTCAAGTATTTATTCATTCATTTAATGAGTGAATACTTCACTTAAGAGCGTAATTTTTACTAGAAACTTTATTTTAATCACACCATGAATCTCACAGTTAGTGATGATTGCACCATTCATATGTAGACGGGTATTTTTGTCGACCAACTTTCTTTTTATTCATGTTCACTAACAGGTCGTAAGCGCTGAGAAAGTCTGCTCTGAGAATGGGTTGTTTTACTTGCGCAACTGTAAAAATCCAGGTGAATCGTCATCGGATGCCGAGGTCTAAAACTGAAGATTGCTCTCCATAGGTCTCGATGATTGTTTCGCTGGCCGATCGAAGTGACAACTTGGTGCTCGCGGTGTGCCGTCGTCATAAAAGTCCAAGCGGGATAATGCTTATTTCGGCTCCTGTATCGACTAAAAAGTCTTAGTCAGAAATACGGTCCCTGATATGGGAAAGACGGCTTGTGGTTTGGCCAGAAACAGGCGCCCCCAGTACTGTCTGGGTGGCTCGTTTCCCAGATTGTCATTGGTAGTGGTTGTGAATGTGCACGGCCGTGTGCGACATCGTGCCTTTGCACCACAGTTTTGGTGATACCAGCAAATTCCGAAGGTTTGCTAAGGTGACTGAGAACGCTGCCTCGAAAATGATCTTTGTCTGGACGGTGATCTTGGTCGCCTGATTTGTACTGTGGCTATCATCGCTTTTAATGATGCTAGCTGATTTGGCAGTTCCGTTAGCTGTTGTTGGAACATGGCTGTGCTACCTGTATCAGTTCTTTCAGCAGCTTGTACTGAGTTTACGCTATGACTATCTGGGTAGATTTCCACCGTTTTGTCAGCAATATCCGCTAAATCATCTAAGGCAACTGAATTTCTTGACACACTAAGGATTTGTCTCACATTATGTGGTGAGCGTTGAAACCACATTTGCTTTAGAAGGGCTTCATCTAACTTGTATGAACCCGCTAGTTGTTTCATAAGCCGTAAAAACTGTGAGGGTTTCTTGTCTCCAAGTTCGCATGCCCTTAACTGTTGTTATAATCCTTTTTTGTCAGAGACTGAGGTGGCGGCAGCTTTTATTTTACCATATGGCTCGTTCTGCGGCACATGATTAATTAAATCCCCAACTTCGGCAGTGATTTTGATGAGGAGTGCACTGACTACGTACTCATATTTTGTCGCGTATGAACGGGTACCTCTAGATATATAGATATAGATTTATAAATAAGGCCTCTATTTGAGCAAACCAGACTCTTGGGTTGTTAGCACCGTATGTTGGGAGTCTGAATTCGGCGATAGCATTAACTATACTTAAGATAGGGTCGGACAAGTTTGCTAGTGAATTAGGAACGTTTACATGGGGACCTTCCATATCGCTAAGTTTATTTGGAGAGTATACACTATATGGAAAATAAACTGACGAGTCAGGTAAAACAGACAATATAGCAAATAAAATAAGCACTGGTGGACCAAAAATTATATCAACTCAAAAATGACAATAACGTTATTAAGTCCACAAGTTAATGTTCTAATACATCAATTATAATTTATAAACAGAAAGAAAAGTTATGGGACGTTACTTAAATCAGAAGGCTTTGACGTTTTCGAGCTGCATTTGGTACCATAATCCACAATTATGGGTAATTAATAATTCCGATAAGGTTGTTGTAATCCAAATCCACCACAAACCTACCAGAGGCTAAACATTGCAAAGAAGACGTGTTCATTTATCACAGAATGAAAGTAAAACACGATAAAGTTGGATACTAATCAGTAGTAAAATCCATGACATTTATTTCGTCCTATTTGAAACTTATCGGATGGATTCAACTACATCTAGGAATTAATGTTCACTTTGAGACTCAAACTCAGTATCTTCTGCTCCAAACACCTAACGCGTTATCCACCTAGCTACCGCGTCTAGCTAAACACTATCTTGAGCGACAGGTATGAATCTTTATTTGTAAGGGTCACACATAGAAAATTATTCAGATATAACAACAGAGACTAATCATCTCCAACCTTCAACATCAACAACCAGAAAATATAACCATCCACAGATAAAAACATGATAAATATAAATTTTTGTTTTTTTTTAGTACGTAATTTTTCGCCTCATCAATAATATAGACTGTGTAGTTAAGACGTTAACAACATGCATGGTGTGATGTGGTGAAATTTAGTATACTTTTTATCAGACAGCTCATTCAATATTTGTTTTGTCTCATATAGAAAAGAGTATAATTGTAATGTTTCAGGTAGAAAGGACGTATGATGAGTTTGTGTTGACTTAATCTACATTATAGAATATGATAATGTCTGTGGAAATTTTTGTGTTCAAATCAAGTTTTAACGAACCAATCAGATACCATAATAACTATCCATTTTATTCAGTTTTACTTGAATAACTACACACACGAACACACAAGTAAACAAGTACTTGTGTGTCTGCACTTATTAAATTAAAATCTCTTATAGTCTAGTACTGAACATGACATCATTTATATTTCAGCTAATTTCATGGTTGTGTACAATCTATGATTGTGGAATCGTTAATAAACTCGAAGATGAAAATGGTGATTATATAGAATGTCTAAGCTATTCAGCCTAGATTGTAGAGATAAAGGTAGTGACGTGTTAGGAAATATAGAAATATAAACAAGCATTGATTGGTGTTATGTTACAATGTCATGTCAGTGTATTATATTCATATCGAAGTAGACACTAATGTTTTGTTGAATGTAATATAACTAGATATTTTTAATGTTTTATTTTGAACATATTTGTTGGATGGCAGCTCTTATTTTACCCGTTCACAGAAGCGTTCATATAGATTGTCCATCAAAGACTATAGACATCAGTAGATTAGCTATAACTTCTGTACCAATGTTTAAACAATTTAGTTAAGGAACTCATGTATACATCATTTGATCGTGGCCTGTAGAAATTGATTGACAGATTGCCATGTTCATTAAAATTCCAATCTTTCTAGATGTTAATAAAAACGACAGAACAGTGTAGCTCCCAAGGAGCAGTCTTCAAATACAAATGTGGACTTTAACAAGAATTAATTAAACAAAAAGTGATTTCACATTGAGTTGTTTTTGGTGGTGTTTTGTTCTCTGAGCTGGATGGTTTGGTCGTGGAGCTTTCATCGTTCTTCTGAACGACATCATCAGCACAAACTTCAGATAGAAGTGAAGTGTTCGAATTTCTCCATATGTGTTTCACAGCTTGTTCTGTGCACCTCGATGCTGATTGGTTCTTGTTGACCTTAAATTTATCATTGTTTACTTCTTTGTTTTGGTTGTGTCTCCACCTGAGCTACAAATCTTCTCCACCATCTCAAAATCACATTGAGTTGTACACATACCGAATAACACAAGTAACGTGTTTCGACAATTTACTTTTAAATTAGCTTCCATTATAGCTCCTAATACTCGATTAAACCTATAGTTCCATTATATACTGCTTTAACACGAAAACTGTGTGTCGCATGCTATTTCTAATGTACATTACATGCTCATTTGACTGATTTGTTACAACTGAGTTAATTGCTTGTTTAAAAACTATCATTGAAGTTTTCAGAACATAAATAAAGTGGAAAACTTGCAATTCATAATTTTCAACTTAATGTTACAACATGAAAATAGTAAAGATTAAATATTTTCCTTACCATTGAAATATGGAGTTTTCGTTGTGTGAACGTGTTTGATTGTAGCTGTATAACAAATATCAATTTCTAACAGAACAAAAATCTGTCAAAATCTAATTTATACAGTAAACTTCTAATTACGTAGCGTTAATGTCATTTTGTCTCATTTGTATAACATTCACATTGATACTTTCAGTGTAACAGCCATTCACTTAAATCAATCTAAGAATAGAAAATTTGTCGAAAAGTGTTACTATATCCATTGTAACGTGAGATTGATTTCTGTTTCCGGACATTATAATTTATCCAACATTTACGTCATTAGTAGTATGTATATATATACACATATTATATAGGCTGTTATGATGTCATAAATTCTGTGTCTGGACATATAATCATGTGAACATCCGATGATATGTACACGTTTTTGTCGACAATTCCAAATTTACGTAATTATTGCTATTCATCAAGGAATGACAACATTCCTTCGTTAATCTTTTTTTTCCAAATATTTCAAATCATTGTAAATTTAGATCAGGTAGTAATTAAGAATAGACAATGTAGAATGTAAAACAAATGAATAACGTGCTTCTATTCAAATGTTATACATTTGTCAGTGTGTGCGTACTGATGAACTAGTAGTGATCACCTTGTTTAGATGATTTACCTGGCTGCCATTTTACGTTTCCATGTGAACAATTCCAAGCTGTTAAAATGACAGTTGTGACTGTGTGACTGAAGTGTGATTACGTGTTAAAGGATTTCAGAGATTGCTGAATTCGTAGTTATACATCACTCCTGTAATTTCATTAGTTTAAAATAATATGAAATTTGTCTTTTGACCAAATGGCAACCTAATTTTAAAAGTTTATTAGTTTTCTGTTCTATGATAACCCGATTTTTGCCTCTTGATAAGAATGTACTATGTATTTTTGTTGATTCGTCATCATAACTGATATGTTATGGTCATCGTTAGATTGATTATAGATTACCATTCGTGGGAAAACACAGATCTTACGAGGCGAGATCGTGGATGCGCACTGCTGAAGAGTCCCAAAAATGTGACTTCATGTAATCAATCATTCTCATTTGAAATTTCATTTACATTTTGTTATCAAGTTAGAAAATAGTCGAAGTTGTTGGAAATTTATGACCGATGGATTTAAATGGAAATCATATACTCTATGCTAATTTACATTTTTATCAGAATCTCGCAAGCGAGATCGTGGCTGCACACTGCCGAGGAGTCCCATATTAGGACGAAACGGTCGTCCAGTGCTTCCAGGTTTTCCATGGTGGTATAGCTTTAAATGACTCATCAATTCAGCCATTAATTTATGTTTTTATTTGATGAAATAATATTGTTTCTTTTAAAAATTTGTACTGAAATAGTGATTGTTTGCGTGTATCATGTACTATCGACATATTTCTCTTAAATATTGGATCCAGGTTATTAAATTAATTATTGTTACAAATCACCCAAACACTCGCTGATAGACTAATTCACATCTTATTATTCATATCTTGGGGAACTAAAAATATTATTTTTATGGTAATGCCGTCCTCTTCTAGTGTTTAGTATACCCTAGTTAGTGATACTTCGTTTTTCCTGTCCTAAATCAGAATAAGAACTGAAAGGGAACAGTATATATTCCAAAGCGCCTGATCAGCAAAGATCCATTAGTAAAAACATTAAAGCTTATATGTAATTCTAATAAGAATATTTTAGTATGTTCTTAATGCTCTCATTAGAGTTAGTAGATTGAGAAATAGTCTGATCAACGTGTTCCTATTTGATCCTGACCTAAACATGCAATAGTTAGGACTCTGTTTTTATTAACGGGTAACATGAAGAAAACTATCTTGCTCCTCTTCATTGTAATTATAAGTATTTATGGGGCTAGATTTCACTTGAATTCTCAGAAAATGTTTTACTGTTTGATTTTGAATATTATTGTTAATATTATTACATTGAAAAAGTTCAAAATACATCAGAGGCTACCTTAGAAAAATGAATCATGAAAACTCTACTGTCTAGTTAAACAAAGACATACTTATTTAAAGCAACCAGCCTTTTTCGAAAATTCAGAAGACGAAACAAGAAAATGCAGTGCATTGCACTTTTCCACTTAACTTATTGTTATGGAGTAAGACAAAACACACAGGTAAGAACAATGACGATATGAAATTGAAAATTGGAGAAATATTATATTTAATGGGATTCTGGATTAGTCAACATAACTAACTAAGATGAATGAAAGGAATTGGCAACTATGCTCCTCTATAACAATAGGTCATAGAAATGGCCTCAACACAATTTCGGAATCAATATACATAAATTTTGTGAGATACTACTTTTTAGATTTCTGCAAACCCCAGTTGTTAGAAAATTTGTTCTTAATTCTTACTTGTCTTCATAATTCTCAATCTATTTTTAATTCTAGGTATGCGACGTGAAAATTTGTTATTCCCTTTAATATTACGTCACCAGACTGTGTCTGTCTCTCACATTTGCAATTATCACCTTTTGTTTAGTAACACTTTTCTAGGTTTTGTGTTAAAATATTATAATAAGTAACACTGTGTTCAGATTTTTCGAATTGTACTGAGCAAATACACATAAAATTTATCAAACTAATTTTGTTTTCTGTCCCGAATTTTCCATATTTTCACTCATTTATTCATCTACTTTTGTTTTTTCTGTTTTCCACAGTCTTCTTGTTACCCTAGATAGCAGACATTTTCGGATATCATTAAGAGAATAACAAAATTAAGTAGGAATTGGGTTTTGTTCCTAACATCATATATATTATAGTAATTGGCTTTTACATTTATTAAAATAACCCATTATGTCAATGAATAAAAATAAAGGTTTTTCAATGAGGAAAATTTTCTTTTGGACGAAATCATCTACTTAAGCTGTACATTCGTATTTATAGTTATATGGAAAATATTTATCTAGAATTTCCATAGCTGGGTCCCACTGAGTAGAAAGAGTAAATTAATTTACTCTTTATCCTCAAAGATCAAGCGAATATATTCTACTGATACGATGGATGAGGAACTACTTCAACATCGTCAGACTCTCATTAGGAATGGTTTTCCACCTTGATTTGTCGATAGTAAATTAACACCTAGATATCGTCCGGAAAAAGCACTGAAAGTACAAAAGAACTCTTTTTATGAATATGGAATTTGAAGAAGATATGACTGCTGAAATCTTGAATAAACGGATTCCAAAATAGTTGAATAAAAGATTCTACTTAGCTAAGCTCCGAAATTTTTTCTGGAACCAGCCTACCATTCACCGATGCGTTAAGGATAAACTTCCGCTTTGGGTCACATCAATGTGCATCTATAAATTTACTTGCCCATGTGGGGCAGGTTACATTGGCCATACAAAGCGATTACTTTCTAAATGCATCTCAGAACACAACCCGGCATACCCTTTAAGAGGAGAATGCAAAACAATTACTAGTTCAATACAGGGGCATTTAATCAACTATGGACACATCACTCCAAACGAGTCTTCTTTTAAAGTAATCTACACACTCAAAGGAACTGGATTGAAGGGAAGTGAAATCAAACTCTTATGCACTACTGAGGCATTGGCAATCCACCAACTCTAGGCCGAACTCTGAG